TCCTAGCAGTGTTGCCTCCTGCAACACCTTGATCACTTCATGAATTGACGTTACTATGCGGTAAAGATCTGTTTTCACTGCTCCGAGATCAATAATCATCACAAGAATCACGAGTGCAATAACATACAGAGTTAAGGCGATTGAAATACCGATAATTAGTGTGTAGCAAAAATTTTTAACAGTGATCATAGCTGATGGATGGGCTGACTTGCAGAACAGACATGTTTCACATGTTTAGTTTAGCAGGTTTTATTAATTATTTGAAGCGTTGTGAGCCGGTATCTTGAAGTTTATGATTGAAAATCTAGCCATTCTCTTTCTGCAGGCTTGTAAAATAATTTCTTTAACGTTTTCTTTGTAATTTCTGTACTTTTTTAGGTGCTAGAAGATTACCCGCTGATGCCGCTCACTGTGTTGGAAAAACGGCTTTCTTCTGGAACTCCCTTATGTTTTTCTCCTACTGTAGAAGAAAATGGTAAGATAAATAAGCAACAAATGCGAAAGAAATTTCTTTGGATAACAACATTGTAAATACTGTAATTGCTTTAATATTTACGTTTATACTCTATCCGTTCAACATTAAATCGATTCACTCAAGTTATGGATAAAAAGTTATTTTAAGTCTTATGAGTTCCAAATTCAATAGCTTTAGCAGCAAGGCAACAGCTGGTGTTACAAAACCTTTATTTCATAGTTGTCAGCGTTTGGACCGCACAACAGCGGCTTTTTTAGGGATAGAGAACTAAGGGACAAACTAAACTAGGGTTCATAATTGTGTAATATAGAATTTGTAATATGAGTGCAGCAACCAATACCGTTAATTGTTTTGAGAAACCAAAGCGTCAGGCATTAATCTTTGTACTCTGTCGTTGACCATGACATCCCAGGTCACGATGATAACAAGAACATGAACCTTTGTCTTGCACCCAAACCGTTAATTCAGTAAGTTTTAAGCGTTCATAGTGTAGAACCAAAATAAACTTTCGTAATCATAAATCAGTCTAATTATATTTTGCTTCTTTTTATAGTAAAGACATTTGTGATTGTTTTCTGTCATAATTTTAATAGCGGAGAAAGTAATCACATTCGCTCATGCTTCTTTAGAGCCATAACTGTTTTGCAGGAAGTTAGGACTCTTTTGATTTTCATCTCGTTGTCACTTCATTTCATACACGGCATGCCTGTGTTATAAAATTTCTTTAGGTAGTCTTTATTATATACAAAATATTATTTATCAATATATAAACTAATTCTGCGCGATTATTCTTGATTTGATTACTTGATTTATAGACTGCGAAGTGAATTTACCTCTGTCAGAAGACACAATCTACCACCAAGATGAAGAAGTTGCCGGCGAGCGACTGCCGTCGAAACAAGTGTGTTGCATTTCTTAAGTTATTTGAAAAAAGTACCTCAACATTGTCCATCGGAAAACGCCCGCTAAGAAAGGCTATTTCTGTTTTCCGCATTTAAAGCGTCCCCGTTTTATATTTCATTAAATACAGAGTATTTAAAATTCATTTCACTGCCGAGCTCTAATCATGCTTAAAGTAATAATTGTCGCAGAATTTGATTTACTGACGATGCATATCGATCTTTCATTGGTGTAACATGAAACAGTCTTATGTGAATGACACTGGAATTACTTGTTTGTAACATATATAAACACTAGTTGATGGACAAATTTTGAGCCAAACTGGAGACTGGAAGTGAGTCTAGGTTTATGATGCTTGACCAGGTTTGAAGCATATTCGCTAAGCTGTCTAAACACTGTTTAACTACCTGAGGTTCAGCGGTCTGATGGTATAATGAAAAATAAAATGAGAATGTATCAGAAGTGAGTACGTGAATAGTTGAGCGCTGTATAAGCATTTGTTTAGACTATGCGTTTTTAGGTCAGTGTGTGAAGAAGTTCGTATTTCTATCTCGGGGATATTCCACTCGTTTTTGGAATTGTAAATGCGTGCCACTTGCCACGTGGAAAGAAAACCGACGGCGCTGGGCGTGCCGCCATAGCTGTAGATCCAGCAGAATGTCTTAAACATAAGTCATTTCCTGCTGATGGAGTTGAAATTATCACATCGAGTTTATGACTCCACGAAATTGTTGTTTTAGAAATACCCATCGTCGTAGGCATATACGATAAGCGGTCAGTTACAAATTGTCGTTTATGTTGTCTGTCTTTCAAGATGAGCAGCACGAGTTGTGTAAAATACCAGTGTTCGCATTGCAGATGCACGGCGGGATATGATCTAAACTACTTTCTTGTGTCTCTGTTCACAACGATTTTCTGTGATTCATCATCTGGTTCTTTGTACATTATTTACTTTTCGCTATTTTGTGCTTGAGTGATCTTCCATTATAAGCAGAGAGCACTGCGACGAACCAACCATAAGAGTAGCCGTCTCTATCTTTGTAGCGGGAGTTGATTGAATGCCGAACTAGCAGGATAAAGATTGTAGCTCTGTAAAGCTTGAGCGGAATCTCTGGCAATTCTTTCTTTAAGTATCACTGTGTGTAGGAGTAGGGGCCGTAAGATGGGCATCATTGTAAATAGAAATATTTGTTTTATACGTTTCTGCGAATTTGTGCAGTTGCATTATTCATCTTTAGAGGATACGAAACTTGATGTGTAATTGTGCTACCTCAAAAAGTTATAATTGGTGGAAATTAGTTGCCAACAGTTTTTAAGAAGTCAGTGTTTGACTGTATCGTTAGATCGCTGATTGTTTTTCGGCCGTTGCTATGCATTATTAAAAATAGCCATATTAGCATAAGCTGCATTGAGAGCAGTTTCCCATTTGCTGCAGTTTCTTATATTCAGTATAAGTAAACACGCGTGGGAGGCATGTAACGTATTTTATTTGTACTTTTCAGTAGGTATCCATATGATTACATGAAAGTTTGCCTTTATTTACGTTGAAACGAATTCTTTTTAGAGTAAATCTAACCACAATGTCATATCTTCTTCCGCTGAGGTTGGAAAGGACCACGCTAAGCAAGTTTCTAAAGTCGTTCAGGTGTCACTTCTCGACAGCACGGATTCGAAACCACTGGACAACGGAAATCAGCGCCCGGCGTACGACGTACTGGTGAAACTGGATGAAACATACAACGGTCTAGAACAGCTGTTTGCATCGTCGTCCCCTCTTATTGGCACCCCCAATCGACACTCACCGGCTAAAATTTTTAAAAGTTTGTTTTTTTTACGATATGTTGATTAATTTTGCAGATTATTAGTTAAATCTTATTCCAAGTGCTGATTGTTAGTGGCGCCTTGCTGTCATGCGGATCTAATCGAATTGCAGCCATATGACGTCCACGCATCAGGCATAATGACGTTAATTCTCGCCCGACCAAGCCACAAAATCGTCCTCTCTTGCCTCTAACATCTGCAGAACAACAACGACCCCCTCCCCTTCACTACTCTTTGCACCGAAGCACAATAAGATAAATTCACTACTCAGTGGACTTAATATGTAGAATGGAACTTTCTAGTTTCCGTGTAGCGACCAGTCGCCTGAGATGTTTGCTTTTGCGCAAGACCAGCAACCTTGATTGGCTCGAGCTGTATGTAGCAGGTAGAAAGGCTTTGATCTTGGCCAAAGTTTTGACTGCTCTCTGCGCTAGCATACATTCATGTGGCATATATCTCAGCTGGCTGTATAAGGTTCTGTAAGAAGGTTCTGCTAAGTTTACTCCAATCAGAAGGTTCGTTTAACTGAGATGAAGTCATCTCTTCCATCCTTCTCCTCCATAACTCATGGTGTGTTAAAATTTTAAAACTAGACATGCCTTTCCTACAGGGTTGTTCTTTTTTGATGTAATCGTGGGTAATTAGTATTTGGATACCTATTCTGTTTTGTGTTAGCTTAAGGTTTGAAAGTCTTGATCCTTGTATATAACATTTATGTGATTGATTTATTTGTCTTTCAAAATTCCATAAACCTACCGACTTGATGTTTCAGTCTAAATTTTTGCCTCACTTGCTGAACCGGATATTTGTTTAGATATCATCCCCAAAATGGAGGATACCTCCAATGATATATATGATTCAGCGATCAGGTCGAATCAGTGGGTGACGGCTCCATGTTTTTTGAGGGAAACTGTTGAAGAGAGTGAGGAGAAAACGGATACGCTCAACGAGAGTACTTCTGAAAGTATTGAAACAATCGACCTGGTTTCTGACAGCGATACGACTGAAACGGAATTGGAAAAAGTAAGTAGTGCTTGTCACCTCGGCTAGTTTTCTTGAGGCCTTTTTTCTAAAGACTGCTTGCTTAAGGATTTTTGAATTTTAGCAATGGAATGCCAGTGCAGAAGGTTAAAATGTATCATTAATATGTTCAACATTTAATAATCTATAATATGTAATGATGCATGATTATCTGTACGAAGGAGATTTGCTACAAAGTTTTATAAAGGAATAAAATTCCTGGAGATGGAAGTAAATCATTGCAGTGTGTGCTAACAGAGATGTTAGTGCTGATTCATCCAAGAAGGTATTGACTTTTGTAATATAGTCTTCGAAGAAATTTTCTGTATACCATGGTATATATGAATGAGAAATTACAAATGGGTTAAAGACGTCGCGACATGTTACGACAAAATAAGCGATCTGAGATGCACGTACTGGTATTGTAGTGCATCTTCGGTACATAGAATTGATGTGCCAGCTCCACGCCACTCCACTTCTTTGCGAGATCCTCATGGACGAGACGTGAAACATGTTAAGTTCTCTCATTGCGCAGTGGCATTCGTCATACGTAATCTCGGCTTTCTCATTGACGTCTCGCATAGGACAGAATCCTCTAGTGTTATTTTATTCGGAGATTCACAGGGAACCGAAGGCAGTCAAATTGAAATATCCTAGTTAGAAGTCGTTCCATTTCTGCTCATGCCGGATGTTGGGGTTAAAGAATTTTAGAGGCTGTTGAACCGTTTAAATCGTGTCTCTGCTTATCTCTTAGTTAGAGCTTACAACCGAAATCTGTCTTTAACAGAAATACGGACTCCACAATCACTACTACAGCACATGCATGAACGAATTTTATCAATTTCGTCTACTATTCGACGTTATTTTTTTTGCACTGCGACGGAGTGCAGGAACAAAAGGCCTACCCGACAGTAGTAAAG